TGGTTGTATAATGCGTAGAGGAATTTCTAGGCAGTTTACAGATGATCAGGCTCTGGGTTCAGATGAGGATTCGTCACGGAGGCCTTGCGCAGAAGGGTAACTAGTAGGTTGGCTTGTTTTTCACCTTGAAGTTTGCTTTGAAGGAGAGAGGATTCCATTGGGATGGGAATCCCGATCTGTGCATTTGCACCAGTAAATTTATCGAAACATTGACAAATAGACTCAACTACCGTCGATGGCATCCCTTCTAAGCTGTCATTTAGGCTCGTGTTACGACACCTCATCTAGGATGTAAAAGTAATGGAACTCCGGTGTAGACTTTGGGAATCAGTGCACCCAGAAGTAGCCTTTGTGTAGGGAGCGGTTTTAATAAAAATGAGTTCTTATTAGATTCATTGATCCACATTGGAAGAATGGGGTTGGTTGGATATGAATTTGTTCATTCTTAATCTTTAGACTTTCCAAATGAATTCTGTTTGAGTCAATTCCGCTTTTTGAGTCAAATACAGCCATTAAGTTTTTGATTTACGATAGAGTTGAACAGAGACAAAAAGCGGTAAAAAACTGTGGGTAAGATGACTACGTTGGTAATTTCAAATTGGCTTAAAACGAATGAGAAGTTCAACCTCGGTTAATTGAATCCGAATTGATAGTTTCTCATTGTGATGCACTTTTGTGTAATTTCTGAAACCAGCTACAGTGTCATCATTGTCAGTAATTCGTAATTTAATGTACACGTCATCCTGATTCACAAACAAAGACAAGATCAAGGGAGAGTTTGTTATGGATGGCTGGGGCTGCAGCGTCAGAAGTGACGAGAGGTAAGGGGAGAATTCACACAAGGGCAGCATTGATGTTGGAAAATAGAGAAGGGTTCGAACCGCATCAAATCGTTGTGAAGGTGTTTGTCTCCTCTGTAGGCAAAAGGTGTGTTGAAGTGTGGAGATGCGCGTATCTGGGATTCGTGCTAGTGGTTCCGTTGTTGGTGTAGATGCCATAGTGACAAGCAGCTTCGGGTGAGGAGTTCGAGGGCATTTCG